CAAAGATTGACACTAATTCCAGGCAGCACTAGAAGTTACTAGTGGTAAAGGCACCTCTATTCTAAAAGCCAACATTTTGATTCCACTCACCATCTCTACCCTCTGGAGTGGAGCAATTGGAACCTTTTTGCCTTCTTTTAACTCTGTATCTGAGTTGCAAAGGCAGATGCAATGACAATAAAGAGGGGGAAAATGCAGAGCTGCATTACAATCCAATTCATCAGAAAACAGAGCACGCTTGCCTTACAAATTTGCCTGCAGCTCTTGTCTGCTGTGTTATTTTTAAACTGCCTGCAGGTTGCAGATTTTTCTCCTACCAGTGTACACAGAGGATTTAGCAAGACACAACTTCCACTACCATGAATTTCAGCCACGAAAATTCCCAGCACATCAAAATTCAGCATCCTTATTCTTCCTATAAACTTCTTGCTGCAATCTGTGTATTCAGGAGAGGGCATCCCGTGTCTCTTCCACCCTGTCTCCACGGCAAGGTCAGTATAACTCGGCTCTGCCTTCCTGCCATACATCAGCCTGAAGAGTGCAGCCTGCAGTTGCTAAAATGAGCAAACTCAGGCATCAAGCTACAGATTCTTTGGCTCATCATGACAAACCTGTGGAGAGAGCCCCAACTGACTGAACCCAATGCTCAATATCACAACACTGTTATCACTCAGACACGGTCACCTCGGCACCAGCACCAGATGCTGTACAAATGAAGGCTATGGACAGGCACATATTCAGGACACAAACTTCAGAGTACTCCAGCGAACCTGCCCCACTCCTGTGGGAGGCTGGATGGGATAGAGTCAGGACTCGACATCTGTAAATAGGAGAGATTCTCTGTGCAGAAAAACTTCACAATACATGCACAATTCCTGTAGAGATGGGACTAACAGGAAGAGCAGTCTCTTTATGTCACCACAATATTTTAAATAAGAAAGCAACGGGGCATTTTTCAGAAACACTGATCACCGCAACTGCTGTTGCTGGAAACGGAAGCTGCAGATGCTCAGATTTTCTGAGGGGTCAGACCCTGCAGCCAAATGTAATGAATACTCTGGCTTGTTTCCTTCTTCTCTGTTGCCTGGTTTACTCTGCAATGCAGAGCAGTACTGCAAAGCAACACCTGCCGGGTCAGAACCTCCTCCTCATCTGATTTAGGATGTCTCAGGCATCAAACCACTCATACTCTGGACCATTGTTAGGAGCTCTAAAAATTATCCCAGCTAGCCTTACAAGAAGCACTTGCCCAGCTTCATCAGCAGGGGCACAGCCACAGTCATTTCCACCCCCTTGACACACACAGAGCAGATGACAACTGTGTGATGTATGAGCAGTTTGGTTTGGATCTGGAGCTCCAGCACAGAAGCCTTTGCCCTGAATAGGGTACAGCAGGGACTTGGATGTAATTTCAATACAAACAGCCAACAAGCTTTAGTCAGACCAAAATCCTCTGGCCCTGCAGGGCTGATGACTGTCTCCTTGTGGGACAGCATGGGACCAATGGGTCTGTCTCAGCAGCAATGACAAAGCAGAGCCTGGCCTCCCTGCGTTGGGTAGGGTTAGGTTGCTGTGCTGTGGGTTAAACTTGTGCTTGCTTGACCCTCTATTACAACTGTCCCTCATCCTTCTACATTACACAGCCAGTTAAGCTGTTGCTCATTTCTCCCTGCTGATTTGGCAAGTCTGGATTTGACTCTTAGCTGCTTATATTTTTGCAAACACCCTCTCTGGAATTGCATGGCCTGGCCCCAGGCTACCAGGCTCTGGGAAAAATAACCGCATTATTCCACAGAACAGTTAGCATAATTAAAATATTGACTGCAGATTAAAAAGAAATGTGCTGAATATTTTAGAGCGGTTGCAGGGTTGGCAAGGCTTGGCAGCTTGTTGGCTGCAGGAACTGGCTGATATTTAGGTGCGCCTTCTCCTTCAGTATTCATTGCTGTACGTGGGAACTGCTTTTTGTGCTGTCAACTTCTTATCTCCCAAGCAGCCAACCCACAACCAAGAAAAAAAATGAACCGACTGGAAACGAGGAGCTCCGAGGGCTTTCTTGTGCTTCTTATTGCCAGTGAGACCATTTCCTTGTTATTTATGACTTCAGGACATCTGTCTTATCATGTCTCTAACTATTTTTGTGTCCATCTCTTCAAATGCACATTGTAGGAATTTCATATGTTGAGAATGTATCAGGTGATAAAATCATTTGCTTAAGAACCGTCTGTACCATATAAGAAGCATTAATACAGTTTAAAAGCCCACAAAAACCTCCACCAGAACATTTGTTTTCACTACTATTCCTTCTGTTATATTTGATTTCTATCTGTATTTCACCTGTCACCAAAGTCTAAGGCATAAAATCCTTCCATTTCCACAACCTAGAGGGCAGAAGGGGATGGAAGAAACACAGTTGACAGTGCTGGTAGAAACTAAAGGAGCACTGATCACTCCAGAGCACTTATGGGATTCTTAGTGCCTTTGCAATATCTCCCTATTCACTTTCTTAGAGGAATATCTGGGATAATAAACATCGCTAGGGATGCACAGGTTTGGGGTTCAATGACTTCCTAGTTCTGTCTACACCCCTGCTATCTGACAAAAAGGGTAAAATCATCTCATGCTATCAGTGTTAAAAAAAAAAGTGTGGATGATGCCTAAACCACTCTGCAGATACCTACACCCTGAATGAAATGTAGTAGGGTCAGTAACTTGCCAAGGTACAGCTTTAAATCAGCTTCTTATTTAATATTCACTTACATGCTTGAGAAATTCCTGGAAGGTAGGAAGCATTTGAACTGCAGTGCAGTCTCACCAGCAAGGACCAGGGATGGTTGAGTCGAGGCTCTCCTACTCTTCTGTAGCTTCCAGGGACAAGGGCCTGACTTAAGAGTCTCCTCTCCAGCTCTTTTGAGATGAGCTAATTTTGTGAACGTTTCCATTCCCACTCAAGAGATGCCAGAAGAAATGGCTAAATGCTATTTTCTGAGCTTTAAAGTAATCATAATAGCAAATTAATAGCAGATCTGCTCTGTCATTTTTCATTCTCATTGCCATATCTGTAATCAAGAGCTACTCTATTTCTTCAAAGCTTATTTCTGTGATACTTCTCATTTTTGAACATGCAGTTAGGAAAGAAGCACGATATCTTGGCAGTCCAGCTGTGGTCTGTAGGCTGCTGCCCTTCTTCTGTGCTAGGCTCATTGCTAATTTCTACTCTCAGCATTGACCTCCAAACTATAAACCATAAATATCACCTTGGGAAGACATCATTCTTTCAAAGGCAAAAAAAAAATAATATTTTTTTACGTATATTTTAAATCTCTTCTAAATTAAACTCCAAGATAAACTCTGTGAAATGAGACAAAAGATGCTCTAAATTCTGTACACTCTAAATTCAGAAACGCGCACTGGGCATGCACAGCGTGGGGGCGGTTGTTACGACCTTTTCTCTGTTCTGATAGTTCACATGGCCAAGTTTTTAGTTGGTGTCCACTGAATGAATTATCTCTATTACCAGTATTTCCAAAATTAAATGCAAGAGAAGGAATGTTTTCAGTCCCCCCTCTGTGTTTCATAATCTTCCAAAAATTGTTTCCTGTTTACTTGGAATCCATACCTCAATACTGTGATTTAAGCATTTTCACTCCGTTAACTTAAAACCAAAGCCTAGAAGATGCGATACAATTTTTCTCTTGCAGTCATAAAGCAATTTATGATAAATGTTGTTGTTCTAGAGAAAAAATACTTGGAAATGTACCTATGTTCACAGCTCCACATCGCTCATTTAAATCATAACTGACTTGGGGGAAAAAAATACCAAAACAAAACAAATTGTCATTCAGTTTTTATTCCTGTAACATGTTGGATGACTGTCAGCAGCTTCTCTTGAAACAAGCACTGTATTGGTACTCAAATACAAATCTCAGTAAAGGCATCAATAACCCCATTTATGGAACTGTGCTACTCTCTGTCATGGTACTGGCTAGCACAGAACTGTGAATAGTCAGTATGCATTGTTTCATGCAAGACTTGTCCATAAGCAAAACTCACATTTTCAAGACAAAATACTAAAAATACCTAATTGCTTTTCCAGCTGAAGCATTATCTCTGAATTCCTGTGGCTTGGCTGGACAAGAGGGAAATAATTTTCCCCTTAGCTTCCTCAAGGAATAAATTTGCACAGTAGTTCTAAGATTTTATTTATGTAGCACATATCAAACAAACTACTCTTACATAAAAGATTTGCATTAGCTCACACAAGTCAGTGTGTTCTGTGTTAAGTGAAAAGAGTTCATTTAAAAGGCAGCAATGTCCCGTGGTCTGAGAACAGAACTGGAAGCTGCGAATTCAGAAGGGACCTGAGCTCTCTCACACTTCTCTCAGATTTTCATAAAGGTCTACATTTTCCTAAATGAACATTACATTTAAGTGATTAACTGGGGGCCACGTGGGCCTGATTTACAGACATGTTAAATTTCTAGCGCTCCTGTTAAAGCTGTTGGGAGCTCTCAGCTCTCCACGTTTCAGAAGGCTGTAGTGCAGTTACATGCAGCTCTTGAGAGGTAACACCATTACCTTCGTGAGTAGCAGGCATGGACAACGGTAGGAAAGCGATGGAATAAAGCCCTGGATGTACAAATTCAGTATATCCCCCTCTCTGTGGGTCAGATAGCCCTGATTAATCTGTGAGAGATGGCAGCACTGGAGATACTGAAATAGTTGGCATCTAGAGAGGCACCGTGAAAGACCAGAGTTGAGAGAGCAGCTGGCAGGAAGGACCAGGCTGGCACGGTGAGGTTGAACACCTCTCTGGCTCCTGTCCCACGGCCTGGCCACTGGCTGCAACAACAGAGAGACTTTCAAAATCTTGCACTGCCTATCTCAGTCGCCAGAATGAAAGCTTGTTAGCTGGTGAACCTCCATTTTCTTCCCCTTTTTAGGTCTATGCTGAAGCTTTTTGTCTAAGAGCTGCCTGTCCTCTCTTCCCCTCTCAGATGAGATGGAGCAGTCCCCTGCAATGCGTTCTGACTACTTGGTCTCAGGGATTCGAACTCCACCAGTGAGGAGGAACAGCAAACTGGCAACACTGGGCAGGATCTTCAAACCATGGAAGTGGCGGAAAAAGAAAAACGAGAAGCTAAAGCAGACATCTGCAGGTAGGGGGAAAATAAAAGAGTGACACTGCAGACCTGCAATTAGGCAAAAATTTTCTTACATAGGAAATGTTAATGGTGACCTGATCTAAACTTCATTCAGAATTTTCAGCATGTTAGAGATTAATAATATTTAAGAATAGAAAGATCCCATATAGGCTGATTTCCTATGTAATACAATACAGGACATTTAGAAGAAAAGGTCAAAATACGGGAGTGAAGGACAAGCCTCAACAGAGACTGCTTTTCACAGAATCATACAATCACTCTCTTCTCCAAAATAGGCTACATGTATGGCCCCAAGTATCATCCCCCCTTTTATGTGGGGTGAAGATTATATAGGTCACAGTAACGTTATGAAAAGTGACAGGACTGAGCTACAGCATGTAAAATGCCTTCCCTCAAGCAGCTGTCTCTGCGGTGAAGGAGCCCAGCAGACAGCACTGCACGCTCTCGCTGCTCTCCAGGGATGTCCCAGGAGATAGTTAAGGAGACAAACTCTCTTGCCTTTGCCTAAGACAGGACGGTGCCACTCCCTTCACTTGCCCTGATATCCTGTGGAGCATCCCAGGAAAGGACTCTGCTTCCTGACGCAGCTCCAATGTGCTGTGTTAAACAGCACAAAGGCTCGATGTATCCCCCGTTACTCCTCGCTCGGTGTGATCAGACAGTTGGGTTAGACCACAGATCTCAGCTCTACATGTGGGTGATTTTACAGCTCTTTTAACAAAGGAAAAGGCACAAACAGGCTGAGCAGTCCATGCTCCCCAGAATAAAATCCTTGCAATTCTTTCCAAGCACACAATGGTTAAGACTAGAGGGAATTGCCACTTTGCATCTTTCTCACTCCGTTATATGAATACTCCATTGGCAACTGGTGCTGTGTTATGCTACTACTTTGTGCAGTGCTGGAGAAGAAGATGACAGCACGACAAGGTCGGGATGAACTCATTAAGAAGGGCCTTCTGGAGATGATGGAACAAGGTAAGCAAAAATTCATCTTTTTAGCAGAATCTTTTTCAGAAAAATAAGAATCACATAATTGCAAAAGAAGAAACCTAACAAACAACCAAAAAAGAAAACCTTCCATCCAAGCAGAAAGGAAGAGTCAGTCTCAGAATTAAGCATGTCTGTCTTCAAATTCCTCCCTGCTGCAATCAATCCACACAGTTTAATTTTTGATGTTTTACCATCTTGAATGTAACTCCATCTTCACTCGATTTATACCTGGTGCAACTTGAGCTGGTACGTATGTTTTATGCAATTGCTCCAAACCTAGCTAAATCCTGCTGCCAAGGAAGTCAGCTAAAGCTGGTATAAATATAAACTTAAACACACCGATGCATTCAGCTAATATGTACAACCCATGAATCCAAATCTCATAAAAAAGTACTAATCTGATGTTTTCAGCTGTCTTTCTGGTAAACCAAGTTGGTGACAAAACATATTACCCTTCTGCCTGTTTTTCATTCACATGGAAGATTGAAGCATTCGGAAGTGTCATTTTCAAGCTTTCCTGAGTACAAACCAGGCCCAGCAGAAGCCACTGAATGAAAGATGACAGTCAGAAACCAGCACAGACTGTGGTTCTGTGTATCCCAGTCCCAAAGCCCTGACAGATGCTCAAAGGAGGCAGAGATCTGGGTGACTGTTCTGGGAGATCAAGTGAGCTCCCAATGTTACGGACAACAACCCAACCACCATTTCCACCTAAACAGAGATTAAATAGATAAAAAAATAGAAATCCATCTTTACTTTGAAATCTTTATAGAACAAAGTCCTGTCATGAAGGAAGACTGGCCTACTGAGCTTGACCAATCTGACAGATAGAAATTATGTTCTTTGAAACTAATAATTGAGTTTCTTTGTATAAGACAAGGGCTGTGTCTATAAATAGCCTGTGGGACAATACTCAGTGATGCTATGCTGGAGTGCAACCGAGCGACTGGAAGAGTCAGAAAAAGAATATTTTAACAGGATTTTTTTTTTTCATTGCAGTAAAGCAATTTCAGATTATTTTATTGGATATATTTTAATATGAGTTTGATGTTCAAGTTAAAAAAATAATCTATCAAACCATCATCTTATTCTAAAATGGAAGTTTTTAGAAAGCTCATTTTTAATTCTTACCCACTGAACTCTTTGTGGCCTTCATAATTCTAGATAATTAGTTGCCCTATTAACATATTAACATTATTGGATAGAAAAATATACACGATTTCTGCTAGGAGTATGAAAGTTCTCCATAATCCATGAATTTGAGGACATGTGTATCCAGAGCTTTGCAAAAAAACCAACAAAAACAAAACAGTAAAATAAAACTTCCATAGAACACATTAAAATGTAGTAAAAATAGTGACTCAGTAAACCTCTTGCATGCATAAAGAACTGGTTGGGAGGGAAGCAACTGATGCTAAGTTGCAAGATCATTCTAAAGAAATTAAAATACTTAAAAAAATACACCTAGTGCAGTCAGGAGTGGTGATGACAAACTATTTTTCAAAAGGCAGCTGCAATTGGACTGCTTACCTGTCTGCAATAAAGTTGCACAGAGCTCATTTAGACATCAAACAAATTTTCAGTACTACCCTGCTGCCCAGAAAGGAAAGAATGGCTAACAGTCAGTTGAAGGACATTGCAGCTGCCTTCAAGTTATTTTTCTTTACAGAGTGTTGTGAATCTCCAGGGTTATTTTATTATATTATTAGCAGAAGCGGCTTATTAACTGGAATAAAAAATTGACCCAAATAATTCTCAGTAAATGATTAGTGTCCTACTTGGACTGAGCTGAAGAGGCAGCAGTTTCAAGGCTAAGTCCTCATTTATGCAGTCAGTTGCAATTGTGAAAGCAGCAATACTATGTTAAAGACTACAGTAAATCCTAAAATCCCTCTATTTCATCAGGCTCTCTTCCACTTCCAGGGACCTGATTCCTGCTCACTTTCGTAAATAGCCCAAACTAGGATGAAGCTATAGTCTGAGAAACCTCCAGATCCGCTTCATGCATTTACAATAGCTGTTTCACTCCAGTTTTGCAGCACAAGGCCTGTCAAGCAGCATTTTGAGCTGGACTGTTTGGCTCACAGCAAATCACAAAGCTAGCGGAGAATCTGCATCCATCTGTGAGCAGCCCAGGGTGAAACTGCACCGTCCTTGCTTTGGTGATGAGTCACCCTACCAGGTTATGTCACCCTTTCTCCTCACACAACCCCAAGACCCAGCTGCCCAGGCACACGGTGCCGCTGCACAACCTGGGGCCCCTCTGCCCCTCTCTCCTCTCCAGCTCAGCTCTCACAGGACAAATGTCAACCTGCCCCTTGAACACTCATGAACCTGAAATACGGCTTCATTCCAGGAAACCAGCTTGCACTCTGAAAGAGGTTACAGGGTGCAGGCTCTGGCGTACAATGGGATTCACTCCCAACAAAATTACAATCCTACTTCTTCTAATTACTTTGCAATACTCAAGCCTCTGCTGCTTTCCTTACCAGGGGATCTAAGGTCTGTGTTTCCTCCTGTCCCCAGACGATCTCTAAAATACAGTGTTGGGACCCACTGCCAATCCCAGCAGCACACCCACTTTGACCTAAGCACACGCTGATCGTTTCTGACCAGGAACATCACTGTTGTGAGTCTCAGATGCTCCTCAATGGGAGTTCTTCAGCAGAGGTGCCTTCTGGTTGTCATTACTTCATCAGTCATTACACTTTCCATTGGCCAGGATCTGAAGGAACTCACGTCTCTGACTGCAGTTTCTTTGTGGCACAGCTGTCAGCAGCTTGCCTTTCCAAAGGATGTGAGGAACGTGCAAAGCAGAGTTACCTTGAAAACATAAAGCGAGCTTCTCCCAATATTTCTCCCCATTGTGAGCACAAAACTTGGTCAGATATAGCTGTACTTAGAGCGCTGAGAGGTAAGGGCTACCTGTCACAGTGCAGGCAGCTGTTAATACACCGATGACTATGCACAGGCTGCCTCCACAATGAGCCGAAATGTAGGCAATGAACTTTTTTCCCCTCCCTTTCCCTGTATCATAGCAACTGTGCTACTGCAAGAGCTATTTTAAGAACAGTAACTTTTCACCAAACGTGATTATGAAGCAGACTGAGTGAGCTCAGAGTGCAAAAATACTGCATCCCTTCCGCAGCACTTCTGGGCCAAAATCTGATACCCTTACCCAAAAGCACAATAAATTATCCTGCAGATTGTCCGACTAGGATTAAAAAGGAGTAACTTGTGAATGCCAGCTATTTTAAATCAACATTCAAGAAACTTGTCATGATATCATTGCAAGAAAACATAGCCTTGTCAGGAGCTTCCAGAAGGGAGTGTCTAGGGCTGAAAAATACAAGTTAGGAGGTCGGAGGGGACAGCAGACATGTCCATCAGCATGGAGTGCTGGCTGGAGCAGGAAGTAATTGCTTTTTTGGTTTGCAACAGTGACGAAGATCTTGCAAATTCTGAGACAGTTGTGAAGTAAAAGGATAGTTTGTATTCTGAGGACTCTTGCCTGAATAGGAGAATACTAGAAAAGCTTCAGTCATCAAGATCCGTACAGCTGCAGGGATCACTGGCACAAAAATCTTTCAGAGTAAGCAAAGGGAGCAGTTTCTAGGTCTGCATGAAGAGGGATTTGAATTTCTGATCAGCTCAATCACACAGGACGCTTTTCAAAGCCGAGTAACTAAAACTATGCTTAAAACCTACAGCTTGGTAGGGAATATTAGCAGCCTTGTCTTTGGTAAGGCTCCAGCATTACTGCTGGGGCAGCTGGATAGCAGCGTGTCGTGCGTGGAGCCTGACACAGCTCAGACACGTCAGACTGACCCGTGAATGTGCTGCACCGTGAGCCCTGCTCATGGAAGGAATTAGCTTCTCCCAGACACCTTTGATTTCCCATGTGTGTGTTCATCTCCCACAGAGCAGGTGATTTGAGAGTTACAGTGGCCTTCCTGTTCATGCACAATGGCCATTTGCCCAGGCTGCCAGATGCCCACAGAAGAAGGTGCCCTGCTGCAAAACTGGGTGGATGATGGTATCCAGAGGGGTTGGTCTCCACAAGCTTTGCCTTACAGATGCTTAACACTGTTAGAGATCAGGTGCTGCTCTAAGACAAATCTCAGTCCTCAGAACTGGCAGCTTCGAGGCTCACTCTTCTCAAGGGGATAGCAGGGAGCTTCAGCTTTCAGTGCTTGTGGTTTAATTAAGATGAAATGATTTGGTGTTTTAGATACTGAAGGCAAAGGCTGCACTGGTGATGATGCCACAAGAACAACACAGAGTGACCCTCCAGCTACTGCGTGCCAGGCACTTGCCTCAGAAGAGGTGCAGGAAGAGACTACAATAGCAGCCACAACGGATGTGACCTCATTTGGTGAGGAGCTGCATTTGGATGAGCTGAAAGAAGATGCAGGTATTGGATATAAAATGTTTTCAAAAACTATAAAATGTTAAAAAAAAATGACTTTAGCTTCTGCTAATCTGCCTTATGAGGAGTCAAATATGTCATTGCATTAAAGGGTCAGAGCACCTGGTTGAGCCCAGCCCATGCTACGTTAGAAATGAGGACTTCAAAACTGTGAGCTGTGAGATTGCTACCAAACTGAGGGACCACACAAAGCTTGGCATAATGAGATTAGTTGGATTATGAGACGATCCAGTCTTGGCACGGTGCCCCTTTGGTATTAGCAGTGACTGCTGTGAAGATGAAACAAGCTTCTCTTAATAACATTTCTTAAAATTCCGTGCCAAGCCTGAAACTGTTTGCCCTGGCTCAGGAGAACAATGTCAATACACAGCCCACACTGTCCATATCATCACCCTGTCTACAACATGCTGCAAATACAAGTGAATTTCAATACCAGGAGCGCAAATAAGCTAAACCAAGGTCCTTTCACGCAACTGTGCTTTGGCAGAGCACATCAGAGACAGCAGTTCCTCGGAACCAGAGCAACCAGGCACAACTCAGCAGCAGAAGGTTTTCCATTCACTTCCCGACAGCCAAGAAATGCAAAGCTGCAGAGATAAAAGCCTAGTACTATAAAATTTACCTTACACTGCATTCAAATTTGCATATTAAAGCTTTCAAAATTATCCAAATTTCTTACGTCTTTTTCTCTAATCCTAGTTCTTTTTATTGTGTTGCAAAGCTTTTCCTCTGTTCTGTAGTTCTTTTCCTCCATTTTTGAGGTGTCTTTTTTTACAGGTTCCAAAAAATAAAAGTGGGATTATCTTCCCCTGTCTCCCTAGTCTGCAAAACTCCGCTTCTATTTTTTGGAAATCCTATCCCTTGTATTTCATCCTGAGGATGTGGGATGAAGGCCATGGAGGAAAAGAGGAAAAACCAAAAGGAAATATTTGTTTGGTTAATACACAGTTTTCCCCACATAACCTAGCCAATGGCTTGGGCCCAGTCCCAAGGGGGGATTTCTACCTAGCAGCGCGATGGCATTTTGACAAGTGGCACTCCACAAATAATTAGCTACTCCAGTAAGGAGTCTAGTGCTGAGTACATGGAGTATTTTCATTTTTTTTTCTCTGCAGTATGAAATCTGTTAATAGGTTTGCATACTCAAGACTTGGGTCAGCCTTCAGACTGAGTCAAACGTGCTTTGTTACCAGAAACAGCCACAGAAAAAAAAACAGAGGCAAACAGCTCTTTGCAGGGAATGTAAAATGAACATTCTTTAGACAACAGTGCATAATGCCAGGGTTTTTTTCATGATACTGCTCTCAGAACAGGATGGACTTCATAAACGAAAAGACCTGTTTGGCTGTGTTTTGATCCACCTTCTCCACAGGAAAGTTCCCACTATGGCTGCTTCTCTGCATTTGTGCCAAACAGCACCTCATGTTACTGCCAGAAGAAAGTATTGTGCCACTCAAGGGAATGCACTGAAATCTAACTTCCCTATCAAACTACTAACATCTACTGGCACTCTTCATCTTTCTTTCATGTAACACATTAGTGACTTTATTTTTCTCTTCCTCTACTCCACATTTTGTTTTCTATGTAGCAGGCACAAGAATACAAAGTGATGTCAACCTGGAACAAAGCATTTCCCTAGAAGTCTATTTAAAAGAAAATTATTTCCTTCTAAAATTCAGGCAACTATCACATATGGCAGCTTTCCTATCAAGCCAAATTTCACATTAATTCCTGTTAACGATGCATATTTATTGTGCTTTCCTATCTTTTTTGAATGACAAATGCTCACTCCTCCTCTCCTAGGCATACTCATTATTCTGTTTGTCAACAAATTAAATGCTATTATCTTGCCAGTGCTATTATCTCCAACTGCCTAAGTGCTCTGGTGCCTCCCCATGTGCTCTAGACATGAGGACGTTGAATATTCACTAATACAGAGAGTTTGTGTTCTAAGTAAGACATAAAACTGAGACAAGGAAAGATTTGTGATGGGACAGCTTTGGATGCCCACTGTTGTGAGTTCTTAGGAGGTGCCTCAAGCCTCTCTGTGGGTCCCCACATCTGCCAAGGCAGAGACACGTAACAGAGTGTGAAAGTTGAACAATGAGGCACTGTCTGAGTTTAAGCACTGCCAGAGTCAGCTGGTATCTGAGCAGGATTCAAGGATGTTAATTTTGGACTTCATCGCTGAAATTCCACCTATGTCTTGCTTCAGCTTCATGTCTTTTTGGATCTATTTCCCTGTGCTCTCATTACAGCCAGGTCGATTTGATGAACTGCTCAGTGATTCAGCCTGTATTAAGAGCTAAGCGCTCTTGCCATCTTTCCTGAAATTAATGCTACCTCATCATCTCGGATTAAGGCTTTGGTGACTGAAGTCTTTCTTAAGTAATTCACCCATCGTCTGTTCCACACTAGTTGCTGAGATCCAATGGCAAATTTTGTTCATGGCAGGCTTTTCTTGGTTATTGACTTTAACCTCAGGAAAGAACAGTTCTGGAGTTGGGTACAGTAAGAGAAGACTTGGGATGCAAGCTGAAGTTGTGAATTAAATAAGTTAAAAAGAAATTGTGAAAATAAATGTGTACAACAAACAGTTGGAAAGTCAGCTTTCTTGTGGTATTACTGGTTTCACATTTTTTTGCCATTTTGCTGTGTGTTCCTAGCATAGAAGAGTACTCACTCAGTAACTGCCACTGCAGCTGCATGCTCTAAGAAGACTCATTGCAGTTTTCAAAAGTTGCTTTGCCTTGCTGTCTTCATTATTTCAAAGAAAGAAAAGGGGAAAAAGCTTTAGGGAAGTAAGGGAAACTCAGCAGCTTTCTCAGGAACATCAAACCTAACAGTTCTTCAATATCCTCATACATTTCATACTTTACCTGCTTTGGCTGGCTGATTATTTCACACAATAATCATTTTCACTATGGAAAAAAAGTGCTTCTAGCTGTGTGCCATGTGTTCTGCTTTTCTGAATGTTTCTGGCATTGTCCCCTGGCCTATCATTATTACTAACTTCATGTTCCATTAATTTTACTCATCTTTCTACTAGCCAAGAAACCTTCAGCGCCCACGGAAGAATTAGATGATGCCAGCCTGTCAGCATCTGAAGACAGTCCACAAGCCTTACTTGTATCTGAATCCACAGATTCCCCCCAGAAACAGACAGAAAGAAACCCAGCACAGCTTCCCAGTCCTCCGTTGCTCCCAGCTCCACCACCCAAGGCAATCTCCAAAATCACAAAGGGTGTAACAGGTCAGTCATTACTGGTCAGTAAAGACTTTCCCATCCCTTATGTGTTGTTCGCCTACACAGCACAGCATAGATTTTTTTCTTATGTCCTTTTTTTAAGTGTATTGCCACAAACTGCTATGAATCAGGCTAGTTATATTGAGCAAACAGAATACTACTGATTTCCATACTGAGTGATTTAGTTGCCTGATAGCAACACCCTGATCCTTTGTACTTCACGTATTTACCTGAATCTCTCCAGGGATTATTTGTTGCAAGTCTATTGCACCAAACACATGTAAAACAAATCAAACCAGCTGCAGGTATCTGCTGAATCAGATGCTCATATCGATATGGCATAAAACACATGCAAGATTTAAACGTTTTCATTACCTAGGCTCCCACTGGAAAACAGTAGAACAGCCAAAATCAAGATCAAGTCAATAGGCTGTGTAGAGGTTTCAGGCTGAAGGGTTTGCTCTCCAGGGTAGGTCTAAACCAGAACTATGAAATCTAGTCTAGGAACACAGAACACACATAAGTGATACACCTGGCTCCCACAAACCGATCCTCCATGCCAGACTTCATTGACTGTTTCAAGAGCAATTCCTCTGGGCCTGATTTCCTTACGTATTGCCAATGTTGTTACATTTCCCAACATTCTGGCACAGCAGAAAGGGTGTTAAAGTGAATATGATTTTAGTTTGTTCCAATTTTAGGGCCCCTACATATGGCAAAAGCAGTTAAAAGGGGCTTACTGCAAATTAGAATCAATCTGACATCTAAATGTCAGATCTGTTGGATATTTAGACTTTTAAATGACAGCCATTATCTCAGCCCTGATTTGCATCCACACTTTGCCACGGACACAATGAATACGGTTTTCAAAGTCACCAGGAAACAAAATATCAGAGTGGCATAGTGATCTGACCACTGGGGTCAGAAAATATTGAGGTTTTCAGTCTTTTCAAGGAAAATTACTTGTATTTGTTTCCTATAGAAAATATCCATACTTTCCATGCTTAGAAGGTGTAAAAGTTTGAGTGGGAGCTGGATTCAAAAGGCATCATAAGGCTCCTTGTTCATACTGCTTCTACATGCTGTGTTACGGGTCAGGTTCTAGCCTGCCCCTTCCACTCTGCAGCATGAGCAGGCACAGCCAGGACACCGCTTTGACTTTACTCAACTGACAAGAAGACCATGCTCTGCATTAGATATAGGCTGTTTGGAAAAGCTGACCCGTAGAGGGTAACAAGATTACAGTTCCACCAGGCACTTCACAGCATTTTGAGTCGAGATATTTTGCTACTTAATCAAAGTATTTCCTGTAACATCTAGGATATTGTGAGTTTTAATATTTCAGTGTCATATAAACTTTCCACAAAGAACAACTCTTAATTTTCATAATGACTCCAATAACTATAGGCCCTTTTTCAATCATGGCTATATTTTTGTTTAGTTTTTGTTTGCATGTGGAGGCAGTGGTAAGTTAAGATTAAACAAATATGGTCAATGAGTGAAAGGGAATACAAATGTACAGGGAGAGAGAAAGAGCCATTGTAAAAGAAAAGGAAGATGAAGAGGTTGAAAAGCTCCTCAGTGTTTAGTTTTTTCCCCCTTAACAATGTTAGAGATGCTGTTAGCAGAGGAGTGAGGAACAAGCCAAGCACCAATTAATCACAGAGAGAGGAGGAACAGGGCAAGGTGCTAAGACATCACTTTGCAAGATTATTCACTGAACAGCTGTCATTAGGACAAATAAGGTGTGATCTAAGGAGACTCTCAACTCTCAATATTGGCCCAAGCTGCAATGAGGACAAAACTGGCCCTTGACCTGTTCCAGGAACAAGCAGATATAAAGACAAAACAAAGTCTCTCCTCCCTTCCTGCTTTAACGTTGAGCTGAAGCTGGAGTTCTTGCTCTGAGTAAACACTGACACCTCCTCTCACTGTCCAGTGCTATAAACTGACTTGAGCTGTTTCCTTTTCATCCCCTCAGGCCATGTATTAACCGGCAACAACTGATCATAAATGTCCTCTGTGCATCTCTGTAGTACCACATAATCAAAATCCCCCGAAGTGTCAAAAAACCATCTTTGCTTAGCAGAGGTTGGCTGCAACAGCCGTCCCGATCAACGCAGGAGGATCCTTGGGTTGGGAAAGAGGCTCATTGGCAAGACATTGCATGTTGGGCACCTAGACAACTGAAGAAAAGCCCTTGGGCTTTCAGACATTTCAGATTTTAAATAAGGTGACTTTTGGACTAGTTTGATCCCAATCTCCAGGATGTATAGAGAGATGAATGAAGCTCTGGCCATTACTTAGGGTTTTGTGTTGGAGGGAGAGATGTGCAAAAATGCCTTCCAAAAATGGAAAAAATTAATGGGTTTATACCTTTCTAAGAATAAAAGATTTTTATTGTGGGTACAACTCTCCTCATTGAAGGATGCTGTCCTCATCCCACAAATGTGAAAAAGAGGATAGGCTTAGTGGCGTCGCTACAAATTTTTGATGTTAGAGTTTGGTTATGGCTACAGCCCTTCTTCCTACTTGTGCTTTTGCTGTTGTCCTCAGTAATTCTGCCCTCCAGCCTCCAGATGCCCAGCTCTATTTGCAGCACTACCCTAAATAAGTTGTACCAGATTTCCAACAATGAACTTAAGGCATGTAGTTGGTAGCCAACGTGCTGAATGCTGGATCTGAGAAGAAATACTTGATAACTGAAATTAATATTAAAACCTACTTCTGTCCTCTACAGTTTTCTAGTAAGTTACCCTGCTATTAGGAGCCAAGTCCTTTTTATATGGGTATTCCAGGATAATCCTGGCCTAAGCAGAAGTTCTTCTCTGCTATGAGCTGAAGAATTTATAAGTAAGTGAAAAAAAGTAAAAATGATCTGTGAAAACGAGTTTGTACAAAAGCTGTGCAAGCTGTCAGTTTAAATTCCTGTTTAAAACACTAGGTGGCAACAAGAGAGAAGAAATGCTCTGTTGTATGACGAACTCGGCTGCCTTTTTACATCCAGACTGAGCTATTGGTGTAAACACCACCACACGCCGGGGTCTTGGGACGCAGATCTAAGGGAAAGGGGTATAGAACTGCGGAACAGAGTCAGCATCTTTTTCAGGCCAGATGCTCAGTTCAGAGCATGAAACTACCAAATTGACAACCAGGGAAATTTCCACTGTGTTTGGGACTCGAGTGCTAGAGAAATATATATTAAAAAGTCTAATTTTGAACAAAATCACAGAACCACAAGAATTGCCCGGATTGGAAAAGACCTTTAACATCATCAAGTCCAATCATTAACCTAACACTGACAAGTCCTCGACTAAACCATATCCCTAAGCATTTATGTCAACATGATTGCCCCACCCTTCTTTTTTCTTCTTAGTCTTCCATACCACATCTTTCATTTGGATTTCACTTGGCAAGTTTTGTTATGAGAACATTATCCTCATATTATAATGATTTTGGCATTTCCTCAACTGGCATATGAAAGTTAGAGGTCTAAACTGTGCAGCAATCACAGAGGAGCATATAATAGACGCTGGTACATTCTGTCCTGACCGAGAACCACAGTGCATGAATTTTAATACAGTCCGTCAGAGTCCAGCAGAGAAAGTGCTAGATTTGAGAGCCACCGCAGTACAGCCATTGATGGTTTGGAGGAACAGTACAAGCAATCAAGGAGGCATTTATGGGCTGGGAAAAGGAGAACCCAATACTGTGAGAAAGAGGGGAAATAGGGGAGGCATCTATTTCAGAAGATCAAGGATCTGGATCTGTGTAATATGAGCCTTTGGAATTCAGGCAGTTAATCAGCATAACCAGTTACCTCCTGTAAAGAACAAAATCATCACCATTTTTCTCTGTTCAACACCAAAAATTAGTTTCAATGCAGACTCTGTGTGCATAAGAAAAAAAAAGCAGCAGCATTGCACAACCTCTTACCCTCTTGTGTTTTGACAGCAGGAAGTGAAATAGACGACCCAGCCATGAAATCTCCTCCTTCCACTATCTTGAAGAATTATGTCATTGTTGGTTCCTCCCAAATCTCAGGACAAGCTGCCCTCTTCCATCCCTCCGGCCAGAAAAGTTCAGATCCCCATGTCAGAGGACAGATAACAACACCAACTGGTTCCCCTCACCTGGCTGCCGTCCATCTGCCTTTACCTCCCAGCAGAGTCATTGAAGAACTCCACCGGGCTCTGGCCACCAAACACCGGCAGGACAGGTACCTACAGCCTCTTGCCTATAGGGGTGCATGAGAAGAGTCATTGCACTGAATCATTTTTCTTGGTAAATATTCCTACCCTGTTAGCATTGTATTAACTTCTACAGATTGGGTTTGCCTTTTTCTTGATGTCGCTTTGAACATCCATCCCTAGTTAAAGGGTTTAATTTGGCAGTTACTTCATAGAATCATAGAGCAGTTTCAATTGGAAGAGACCTTCAAGATCATGAAGTCCAACCTATGTCCTGTCTCTTAAAGATCTCCAGGGGTGGCAGGTTCTTCCAATGGCTGACAACCCTCTCAGTAAAGAAATTCTTCCTAATATCCAACCTGAACCTCCCCTGGCACAACTTAAGGCTATTTCCTCATGTCCTATGACTTGACACTAAACAGAAGAGACCAATTCCCGTCCTGCTACAACCTCCTTTTGGGTAGTTGTAGAGAGGGATAAGATCTCCCTTCAGTCTCCTCTTCTCCTGGCTAAACAGCCCCAGATGCCTCAGGTGTTCCTCACAGGACACATGCTCCAAATGCTCTACTAGCTTGGTAGTCCATCTCTGTACCCTCTCCAGCACCTAATGCCCTTCCTGTAGTAAGGGGCCCAAAAGTCTGTTCTTCCTTTATAAGGAGGCTACTGTAACATGGAAGTAGGTAAAATCATTTGATAACCCTTAACCTATTGTAAAATAAAATCTCCCCATAAGATACCCAGTTAGAGTAGCTAAGACATATCCTGCCCTAAATATCAGTACTCCATGTATGAGAAATGCTATTATTTCAGTATATGTCTCCTGGCTTACACATGAGTATATACAGTATCCACTTTTAATACAAATGTCCATGTGGAAGTACCTTTGGTACTTCATCTGATTTTCATTATAAGCCCTCATGTATTAGAGGAGGACAGAGATAACCTTTTCTATCATAGAGCTTTGGAGTTACGTTGGCAATATTTCTCAATTCCATAACAGCTATTGTAATGGGGAATAGATTCATGCAATACCATTTCCAGGCCCTGTTAAACTTTTGTCAAGATCATAAAATATCAGAATGCTAGTATTTCATGTTATGTATGTTTTACATTAGAAGGATGTGCTGTGTGTTTTTCTTTTAATTCAGTACAGTATAGCCTGTGGCTATAAATCAAAGAAACACATTAGTCACCACCCTTCTGTAGCTTATTTTTATGACAGAGATAGGAAAGTAGATCTGTGTTAGCCATTTGCAACACAGTCTTGAGAATGCCATCCCGTGCTGTCCCATGTTGTACTCTCTGCCTCGGTCTTCACGAGCTACAAGACATTCTGCTCATTGTCACGTAACGATAAGTTCCTACCGTGGCAATAAAAGTCTTTTTACAAAACTGGGCTGTGCACCTTCCACCCACAGCTTCCATGGAAGAGAAAGCAAAGGCTCTCCAAAAAAAAGAGTGGATGTCCGTCCATCCAGAACATCTAGCATTGAGCGCAACAAGGAGAAGGAGAACTCACTGAGTTACAGCAGCGATTCAGAAAATAAGCGGAACTCGGTTAAAGAGTCGGATGAGAACAAAGAGAATATGATCATGAACTCAGAGCTCAAAGAAGACTCTGTTTTTTATCAGGATGAGGAAGTTTTGAATGACTCCGTTATTTCTGGTAAGGAAAGTCACTTATTATATTGTAAAGATATATTATCATAGCTGAACAGAATGCTCTAAACAAGGCAGCATTCCTGTATTGTCACATCAACTTTTTCAAGGAATCCTGGTGAAAAGCAGAAGTTAAATTTGTGTCATAGTGACTGTGATCATGTTTGTCTTGGTAGGTACTTGCACAATAGGATGACGTTTAGAGTTATGATGGTCAGTCAGTGTAACAGTATGCTTTACCCTTTCAGATACTTACGTTCCCTTTGTACTGCTACATAGGAATGGCAGCACTTGCAGACACACCTCACTGTCAGCAGGCAAAGCTTTCTACGTACCTGGTGCCAATGCTGGCAACGTTTTGGAAGCCTCCCATTTTAGGACTATGATTTCAGTGCAGTGACGGTACAGTGAAAATGGAAGAGACCAATGAATCTAGGAAGGACAAACATCCAGAGAAAATATCTTTAAGAAGAGAGTTGCTCTCCATTTGGTCCATTTCTTGAGACATATGGGGAATGCACTGTATAATCCTGAGCAATTATTTAAGTGTGCTTCGGCAAAATAATCAGCTCTCATTAGAAAATTCATTTTTCATTCAAGCTTTTAATGTTTTCCACGTAGCAAGGCAAAGATTCAGTCTGATATTAATCCTTCAATCTCTACATCAATGCATTAAAAGAAGACAGACAGAGAAAAATTCATTAAAAAATAATTGTTATAACAGATTAAGGATGAATTTTAAAAGGAGCTATCAAGCAGGATGCATGAGTTCCGTTCCTGTGTCTTAAGAAACTTAGTGACACCATAGACTGAGATAAGACAAAATAAAAGAGAATCCCTTGCATAATTGCTGTGCATTTAAGAGTAACTTAAAAAATCAAAATCGCCTTCTAAGTTCTATTTCTTTTTTTTCTATGTGTTTATAAAAGTGGTCTCTTTTTGTATAAATTCTAATAGCTAGAGGCATCCAGAAAAAAATATCTTAACCCCTACTAGGAAAAAATTGAATATTTTACTGTTGAAGATGAATATTCTGTATATTTAAAAATAATTATTCACTGTCTCTGAAGGTAGAAATTATGACAGAAGGGCATTAGTTGTTGTTATAGTTACAACAGCCCAAATTTAAAATGCCCAGGGCCAAAACCACATACAGACTTGTTTCCCCAGTTCTTGTGACCGTGTGCTAGTAACGGAAATGCATATGCAGGTATGCAGACAGTTGTTTAGATGCCTTGTCTGAAAGGCTGAAAACTCAAGGATTTGTTATGAAATTAGGTAGCGCAGTGATTGTATACAGATCAGTATTTATCTGCAGATGTACAACAAGCACAAAAGGAGCAAAGACGGTCTATCTTTTGTTAAAGAGGCTCTAGATATGAATACAACCCCTTTTTCCATGCAGAATGCTTTCCAACTTCAACATTTCCAACTTCTTTCATTTCTCTTATTGTAGATACAGAGCCTTCTTCATCATAATAAATTTGTCTCACTCTTTGGTTTTCAAGTCTCTTCACATCTAAACTTCAGTCTTTGCACCAGGAAGCCTGTCCCATACATCCATGAAACTTATCCAAGTCAGCAGCAACTTGAGCTTTTTATTTAAAGTTGCTGAAGGTCATTGTGGACTACCCTGCCCTTGCAGGTTGTAAATATGCATTTACAAACACCAATTTCTTGTACAAGCCTGGTGCCTGCTCTGCCCATGTTTAAGTTCAGGCACATTTTAGAGGCACAACAAAAACCCAGGATTCCGCTTGATTTCTAATGAACGAGATGTCTAACCAACGCGGCCGTGAACGGGTAACAGGGGAAGCCGGGCAACACAGCCGCTGAGACCAGACATCCTGGTGTGGGGTGGTAGAACCTCATCCCCCGAGGAGAAAAACCACTTTGGGGATGGGACCACTGCCCATTTACACAGCACCAGCTGGGACACAAGCAAAGCATTCCTGGTCTTGACAGCGGGTGGCACTGATTGTGCCAGCATTCATTCAAATGCACCCGTTCGCATTTCAGAGAGGAATGAGAGAGGAGTGACAGGGATAGCACCAGAACAATGCCCTGAAAAGTTCCAGATGCTTTCTAGGTTAAAAAATCTGGGCTGGTTTGCAAGTCAGGAGGTAACACTATCCATTAATCCAAAGGTGCTTTAAATTAGTGCCCCGCCTTAGTACGCCACCAACTTTGCCACTGCGATGCTGAACAGTGCATCAGCCCAGTGATTACAGGGAGATCAGGACAGGTCACAGATGACTCTGGAAAAAGTGAGGCATTGTAACTTGGCTTTCCGTTAGGTCTCTACTCAATAAATGGTTCCTTGAAATCTCTAAAAACACAAGGCAAGACAGTAGTCCGGCGTATGAGCTTAAAAAATAGCAAGTAGCGTGCAACCCACAACAGATAACTAATGCAAGCAAGGTCTTTCCATAGTATTAAGATTTGCCTTTTGAATGACAGAAAGAACAGTAAACATACAGGAAAGTAAATGTCATGATTCAGCTGAATTCAAAGAGAAACTTTTGTCAGAAACCTGCAGGCCAAGCATGAAAAGAGTGTGAATTTTCAAAGCATTTACTTTTTACCTAGCTGAGATGCTGTAAATCATAGAACAAGTCACAGCCAAGATCCTGCCCGAGATAGCTTGGTGATGGGGCAGACTGGCTTTAAAAATGCCTTTTTGACCAGAAAAAATAACCCTTAGAAAGAACATACTTAAATAAAGGCATTTGCAAGTTTCACTTTCTACTGAGACAGTGATAAGCAAAGAATTTGCCTCAGGATGCTGAAAATGGATGTGGGGAAAACGAGTTTGCAGGTTTATCTCCTCTTTGTTCTTATGTTTGTTTATTTATTTGTTAATTGATTATGAAACATGGAGTAGAATAACAGACCTGGCCATCAGTAGGCTGATCAAGATGAAAACAAGATGAATTACACAGTGCTTCCCAGCACATCTTCCTGAAGGGGGTAACATCACCTCTGTCTTTTCACTTTGTTGGGCAGGTATTATTTTTCTGGAATTAACCCAATTGGTCAGGCATGGGGAATGGTTCCTTAGACTAGCATATCAGCTTAATCCAGATCTCTTGCATTTTTATTTGGTGAAATACCCTAAAGGTTAATCAGTGCCCAGTGCATATGGACCATGGGAGTGGCTATAGCATAAGCCTTTTAGAAATTCTGACATCTGGATGAAGCGAGTACAGCTTATCCTGAGTGGGTTATGCTCTCTCAACTGCCCTAAAACAACAGCAGGATTTGGGTGAAAGGTGAGATTTTTCAGATATGATTTGTATTTTTAATTTCATGAAGTGGTAGGCTCTAAGTGTGCAGCAGAGCAGCCTGGGAGCAGTCAAGCCCCTGAAGAGCAGCTTCATTTTACTTTGTTTCAAGCCAAATATTGCAGTGTTCCATCTCACTTTGAAATACAAGCCTCTAGGGCACACAGGGAGCTAGCTTAAGCCAATGTCTCCACATTGGCTTAAAAATCTGACTTCTGGTGAAAAAGTCCAGTCTTTTACCTGCAGAGCACTGGGTTCAGCCAGTCTTTGATGAGAGGAGGGACAGCAGAAAATGAGCCTGCACCTTTTCTCAACAAATAGTCATTGTGATTCTAGCCCTTGTCCTCCCACCAGTCTTTTACCTGCAGAGCACTGGGTTCAGCCGGTCTTTGATGAGATGAGGGACAGCAGAAAATGAGCCCTCACCTTTTCTCAACAAATAATCATTGTGATTCTAGCCCTTGTCCTCCCACAGTTCAAAGATCAGGTATAGTATGGTATGGCAAGTCATTTTATAACAGCTTGAAGGGAGTAGGGATAGCCCCATATGCTCATACTGTAGCTGTCACCAATGAATGGGAGAATAACTGTTTAGGGTGAATCTCCAAAAAAAAGGTAATAAAAAATTATATATATATATAAAAATATCTCTATATCCTTTTATCTTTCTCTATATTTAAATAATATACCTATACTACACATAAAGCTCCCTTGTTTTCTTCTAAACAGTTCTGGACGCAGACGTAGGCATGTGCTGCATAGTGTGTACATATATTGCCTTCAGTGCACCCAGTATGCCCAGAACTGCCTGCAAATATCCTGTGCAGATGGCCAGCACGTGGGCAGCACGTCTATCACGTTCTGGAGACGTTGAACTTAATGTGCACGTGCAGTCTCTCCTCAGCAATCTCCTGATGTGACCGAATTCCTCTCACTGTCTTTTTAAAATTTCTGGGTGAAAATGAGAACGTGTTCAGGGATACCTGGAAATTTGCTAGTCTCAAATGTGCTTTGGATTGTTTCCTGAAGGAATTCTGTTGGTTCCTGACCAAGCACTGCAATCGCCCACACTGCACCCACTCCCAGGGTGGTGGAGGCTTGACAAATCTTGACGGAGTTCCAAGTCTGTGGCTTCGTGAGCCAAATGTTTCTGATGAAGTCATACATTCAGTTAGCAGAAGGCTGTGTGTGGCATCAGCCAAATCATTTAACTTCTTTATCCATCTGTTAAATGTATACCTACTACTTCACAGAGGGCCGTGTGGTTTAATTTAATTAATGTTTGCAACAGACTTGGAAAGCATTAGGAGGAAGGTGCTAAAAAAGGGCATCTCTAAGTAGGGATTTGAGCTGATGATGGTTTCTGAAAAGTTTAATTTTAGGCCACTACAACTATCAAGAGACTTGTCCCTGCTCACAGAGGGAGACCGTAACTACTCTCTGCCCCAGTCTTCCCAACATGTGTGTGTGGATGTGGTACAGAAGAATATATATATATATATATACACACATAAAGAATAATAACACAGATCCCTAGCAAATAAACCCCCCATACTTGGGAATGAGAATTGATATAGGATTTAGAATCTTGCCAACCTCCAGAGCAGCCTTTAAAAAATAGACTTTAATCCTACCTCAAATGCCAAACAAAAAGACCAATTAAATGCCATTTTCTTTAAAAATGAGGTGATCTTTTCTAGCAAAGGTAAAGCGTTAAATTAAAAAAAAACCCAGAACACTTTTAAAGTAAAAAGGAACCAAATGAAAATAACCTCCTATTATGCATCACACTCCCAAGGTGAAGCAAATAAAGAGATTTAACTGCAGTTCCTGCACACTCTGAAAATACTATAAACCCCATCTGAGTGGTGCTACTCTGCAACGATACTTTTGAGACTCTGCTGAAGCCCTGGACTTCCAGTCTGCATTTGAAGATAGATGGCTTTCTACTTTACAGCCATATTACTGCGTACCTTTCCAAACTAATGGAAAAATGGTTTTTTAAGCTCAGGAGTTCAATTTTCATTTGTTTCGCCTGCTGAAGTCTGAAGAGGTACACCAGAGATACGGGGAACACCAAAGCTCAAACACAGTTCACTCTAGTACGAGTGAAAGGATGTTATTGATGGCAGAGGGGCAGCAGCAAGGACTCAGCACCCAGCACACTGAGGAGCTGTAGACTCCAGCTCAAAACAGCTGCTGCATGTTCTCCTATGAACAGTTCTTTTGTAATGGCAAAGTTTTAGGTTGTCTGGTTTGATGGAAAATGTGTTATCGTATTTTTACAATAAGCACCACAGGTCATGCACTCACAGCAAGTAATTGTGTCTCTTATTGCCTGAATGCCCAATTAAATTGCCAGCGTTCTGCACATCATCTTAAAATGTGGCCTTTTCTTTCATTCCTTGGAATATTTGCCCTGACACTCTTCAGAGGGAAGGGTTTAATGTCAACAGTACAGTACTGATGGCTAAATGAAATTCTATTACGACACACTGTCATACTGAATAGGATGTAGGCATACACAGTGGCTTACATTTAGTGTTAAGAGTTATATGGTGATCAGAATTCTGATCTTCTAATTTTAATGGCAGAAAACCAGAATGACATTTAGAATATATATTTATATATATATAGTGTGTGTGTGTGTAAATATATACACACATGCCAAGTAACAACTTTGATTGTTTCAGTTACCATTATCTATTCCTGGTTATAACTGGTGACCCAAGAGAGGAAAGTGTAATGTGTTGGTCACTCCTGCCACTGCGTGATCAAGTCCTTCTGCAAAAGTACCACTAAATGGTTCAGGAACCAGGGATTGCTCTGGGCTATAGGGATGAAGCAAGATGCTCAGCCTTTGACTTCTAAATTAGTGATGCGAATCATGTCTCAGCTGCAAATAATTTTCACCTGAGAGCACTGCTTGCTTATAATGGATAACAAAGGTAACAAAGGAATATGATCCTTCTGCACTTGCAAGCAGTTTCGTGTCTGAGCCCCGCACAACCATAGTGCTACTTACTGAGAATTATGTGTACAACTGCTCGTTGCACACTGACATACAAATCACTGTCACTCTGTAGGTTTCCTGCTCTTCATATGTTCATGTCTCATCTCCAGGAGCTGTCTTTCTAATAACTTTCTTTTCAATGCATGTCCCAGGTACTTTGCCAAGAAAATGCAAGAAAGAACTGCTGGCAGTGAAACTACGGAACAGACCAAGTAAGCAGGAGCTGGAAGACAGGAATATTTTCCCAAGGAGGACAGATGAGGAAAGACAGGAAATCCGGCAGCAAATTGAAATGAAACTCTCAAAGTAAGTCTACCTAAGAACAGGGAGGAACCGTCCTTTACAATAGAGCATCCTCTGAGTACTGTGAAATGAGACACGGTCACCCATCCCCAAGTCCATTTCCTGCAGGGAATTATACAAGAACTAATTATAGCACATTTTCAGCTGTCAATCAGGCACTGATTTCAATAGCAAACAAAACAGAAATCAATGTGGGAGACAAAATTCCACCAAATCTACCTGCAGCTCCACTGACATAATCAAGATTTGGAGGTCCTCCAGAAAGGCTAGTACTTTAACTTCCCCCCAATATATTTGTTTATTTAACCTAATTTGCTCTGTCAGCACTACCTGAATTTGAGGATAAAGACAATTGTTACAGCTGCGTATTTACTTGAAGAAGGGAAGGCTGCTGTATGCGTTGGCGCCTGTATTTCTGCTTTAAGGAAGAAGCAAGCTGAGCAGCACTGCCTTCACAGGGGTGAGGTGTTTGTGCAAGTCCAGCTGCAGGGCTGGCAGAGACGGTCTGGTTTTCATCAGTAACCAGGGCAACAGGGTAGAGCTATGAGAGAAATAGCATTACTGTGGCATGCAGCCTGAAGCAAAGATTTAAGGTTCAGGCTGCACCATTTGGTTTTGGTGTGTGTGGTTTTTGTTGGTTTTTTTTAAGAGCTACATTTGGATATCTGCAAACATGAATATTTTAGATGAGACAAAGTGGATTGTTAAATAATCTGTGCTGCGCCTGCCCACACTGGGACAGTGAGCACTGCTCACCGCCAGAATGCTTGGTATCAAATTGAGAAACGTGAATAGAAGTTCATTTTCAAGGCTAATTAAATATTAAATATTAAATATCTCTCCTGAAAAAAACATTTATTGATATTTAGACAAGCTCATTCATGTGTGTGCATTTGATTAAACTTTACCTCGGGGGACAGGGACTGTGAAGCACGCATATGGATCAGAGCACAAGTCCTAATGGACCAGAGTTTATTAAGGAAAGCATCGCTGCCATCACCACACTTGCCCTCAGCCAAGAAACAAGCTGCTGAGTGAACCCAGATGAAATTTTGGGTGCCCTTCACGATGTTCCTGCAATGTTGGAGATGGAGTAATCACCTTCCTCTAGCCTCAGTGACCGCTGTTTATTCTTTGTGGCATGGTAGCACTTTACATCCGAAGGGACAAGAGTGCATTGTGCCAGTGGCTGCACAAGACAGAGCAGATGACAGTCCCTGTCATAAAAAACACATACATCCTATGCAAGTAGAAAACATCGCATTACAATTTACGCTGAGTTCCAAGAGTTACAGGCAGAGCTAATCATAGGTGTGCCAAATCTATATCATCATCTTAGGAAGGAAATTGTTATGGACCTTAATCATGGCCTTGATCATCTTGACCTTGGAAGCCTTGGGTATCCATTTCAGGGAGATATTTCAAGATGCACTCTGATATTGTTTACTCCATTATTTGGGCCAATCAATTGCTCATGAAATGTCTTCATAGGTCAGGAGCCTAATTTTATGGCTCTAAAATACACCAAAAAATGGTAATGTCTAGAGGATGGCTAAAAGCCATCTTTGTTCCACGGGCTGGAAGACAGGCCTTCATTAAGCTCTTTCCTCCTGGAACGTGGAAGATTCAGTACATCTCAGGGAACAGACGGCGCAGGATCGCTGGAATAGCCAGGAATGGCAAAGCAGATTGGAAGCAATCTCCCACACAACTTGCAGCACATATGTGCACTGCCAGAGCTCAGCTCAGCTCTTACCTCATCCACCAGAATAGAACATGACCAGGCAAACAAGCTCAGGTGGTGGATGCATGCAGGAAAATATTTACACCAGGAAAAGCAAGTATATGTTCCACTCCCCTCCACATAAATAAAAAAAAAAAATTAAAAAAAATAAATTAAAAAAGGGTACCAGTAAAAGACCAAAGAGTCAAAGCCCTAGAGATATCCCCCTGGAGCTTCTGACTAGGACTGACCAGGTCTCATCCCCCAAAACGCAGACAACTGCAGAGTCCCCACTCAGCACACAACCTGGCAGCAGTGTGGAAACGTAACTGCACTGGGAAGAGTGAAAATCTTGGAGGAGGTTTTGGGGCCTTTAAAGTCACTAATTTTACTAGTACTTGTGCAGCATTATCTCAAGTTCATAGCTAAGGAGCTCACTGCTACGTTCAGATGCGAAGTACTGACCGGGATATGGGATCCAACAGAAATGCCCGTTCTCTGACTGATTTGCCACTACCTGTGCAGATAAGAGCAGCGCTGCTGCTGCTGCACTAGTAATACCTTGATAACAGCAACGGGACTTGCCCGCTGCGCATTTAGCATCAGGCTATAGACTTGTACTTTAGCACAAAAGAATAATGTACAGGCAGATTAGTGAGTAGTCTGCATAAGAATGGCAAGTAAACAGGCAGTTGTTTTCAAAACTAGTATTTTTCAGCACATTTGCAGGAATTTGAAAGCCTATAGCTACCTAGCAAATTGCCTCAGAACTGCAGCTAACACACCCTAGCTCTGTACTCTGGAGGGAATGCTATGCTGACGTATATGATGTGCAAAATACACTGAATAGTAGTGTCTGTGTAACTTCAGAAATGGGGAGACAAAATAATAACATTTTCTCAAAACTGCTATGTTTTTAAATGGTTCTGGCTGTAATACATTTCAACAGTAATTGTGAACCTGCTGACTCTATTGTGCTGATGGGCATTTATGCAGTCAAAGATAAAAATCCTTGTTTTTCTTCACTTTCCCACTCACACCATCTCAAATGAGGGAACTGAGGGCCAGATCTTTTGAGCCAGATTCTACTTTTACAGCAGTGCCAGTCCACCTATTTCAGATTTATTGTTGACTGACAGCAGGATGAGTACAGATTCAGGTATTCATTTATGTGCATTGCTGCTTTTGAAAAGTGTATTTCCCATATTTTGTGCTCCCAGCCGATTCAGTCTACCACTTGTTGCCGTGGAAACATGTATGTCTCCCTCCTCCTCCTCCATCCAAACCGGCAGTATTTCGTTTTCCCCAGACTCCCCTTTCCAGTAGTGTTGCTCTTACTAATTCATGCATCCCCAGTGCCCCAGGCCATAGCGTGCACTTGCAATATTCTACTGTGCATTAGGCAACAGGGCTCCCAACGGGTTTTGGTTCCCATTATTATGTGTTCGGAGTGCAGATAATAAGCCCTCAATGGAATTCAGTGAATTGAGAGCTCTTTGTGTCAAGAGGCAGAAAAGACATTTGCAAGTACGATTATTTGCAATAACTGCTCAGCTGCCTTACAGACTCACTTTGTTCTAGAAGGGGTTTAAGCTAACACCTGGGGGAATAAAATAGTTGCTGACTGAAGAGTGATGCAGGAAAATGTTGTTTAATTAAATTTGATATGTTTAGAAAGTTAATGTTTGAACTGCCTGGGTGGCTGGTATTTATCGAGTATGCCTCGTATAACCACAGTTAAAGACACTGTGTTGTTACTTAATGTTTCAATGAAAACATGAATTCTCAGAAACGATTATACTTGTAATTTTCACTTCATGTTCTGTTTCACCTCCTTGGATATGTGCATAAGTAGACATGATGCATTAAGCGGCACTTAAAAGATTATGGAGACAGGAATTCAAATACAGAAATGCACGTCAAAGGAGACAGACAGGAAGAACAATGGTTTTGTGGACACAGAATAGAATCAGAACTTGAACGCCTAAAACTGATCTTGACCACATTGAAAATCTTGGCGTGGGCAGGTGAGTCATGCTAGGGCAAGGTTTCTTGGCAACGTCAAGTGAAAAGGAGGTGTCTTTATTCAGTGCTTTGCCACATCTGGAAATCTAGTTCTAGTGCTGCCCAGAGGTTCCTGGAAACGCATTTTCAAGTTGAGTTGTCAGAAGCTGCAGATGTAGCTAAATGTGCACCCAGATTAGACCCTGCTTTGTACCTCAGCCTCATGTAACAGAGCGTGAAGTTCACAGTGCTGCTGGAGATGGAACAAAACCAAACAAACAGCACTTCAGATTCCCAGCCTCAAAGCATAAAGCGTGACAGTTCAATACAGAGGAATCATAAAGGAAAATTTTACCTATTGACGAAACAAAAGCTATGGCCCCTTTCCCAAGAACAGCACGTCCAGTGCCACTTCTCCCAGAAGTTTCTCAGCGTGGCTTGGCTCGCTGAAAAGGCATCAGCACTCCAGACAGGGATTCAGTGAGAAGCTGGGCAGATTGCACAGAATTTTTTGGAATATTTTACTTGATTTTGACCAAAATGGGGGGCAGGGGGCAAGGGGAGCACAAACGACTAGTAGCTCTAATGCAGAAACTACGTAGATATTGAATTAAGCCCATTTTATAGGCTAGCCTGAATTCCCCTGGAGATTATCAATGTTTTTTGACGAAGCTGCCACTGTGCTCAAACTCCCACTTACTGAACTAGAAATCAGGGAACTGCCCTGATTTCAGAAGGCTGGAAAGACTGGATGTATTTATTCCAGAGACAGAAAGGCAAGGACAGGCACAAAGAAAAGATCAGCTAATTAGCTGTGTACAATTCAATGCACTTTGTTCTTATTTGGCAGGAATCATCCAGGTAACCTTGTCGCTGATGCTAAAAATAACCCCAGTGAGCACAGCGTGGGAGTCTCTGAAAGCCTCAGCTCCTCACATATGAGACAGGAGCTATATATAGAGCTACGATTTAATTCTGTGGGCGTGTGTGTAAGCCAAGGGAGTCTCCAGTTCTCGTTGCTCTGCTCTAGACAGCACGATGCTGGCAGCAGGGACCAGCCCGGGGGGTTGGTGCTGGAGATTAGCACGTGGCTGCAATATTCTATTAAGAGCTTGCACAGTGCCTGCATGCTTTTTAAACCTGGTGCTGTGTGAGGATTTGGGATTTTTTTTTAATGTTTTGTCCCTTTTTCATTATAGGCTCAGCTTCTCAGGTTACAGAAAGCAAAAATATTGCAGGGGGTGGGGGAAAAGACTGAAAGAGTGGGGAGGTGCAA